TCGTATGCTACTATAACTATTAACCAATAAGTATTTTTTGTAAACATTTATAAATAGATGCATACAGCTTTTTTTTTTTTGGACCATAGTTTGTCACCCTGTGTTTGGTGATTTAGGCTGTGTACAGTTTTTTTGCTATTATAAATCACGTTAACCTATTATGAAACTTTTGTATAAGAAGTTTTTTTCTATTTCTCAGATATACTGTATACCCTGATGTACTGTATACTCAAGAAATACTGTATTGAAATTCATTTGGCTACAGGCAACATAAGCTCAATTCCAACTGGCTTAACAAACTAAAGGAAGTTATTGGCTAACTTATTTGAAAAATGTAGGAACAGACTTCAGACTGGCTAATTCCAGAAATTTAGTCATCAGAGGTCTAAATTATATCTATCTGTAATTCTTGCTTTCTGCTGTATTGGCTTCATTCTAAGGCAGCCTTTCCCCATATAGGAAATAATTGCTACTTACAGCTCCCATTTTCATGCTTTCAACTCTGTAATCTCCTCTCAGAAAGACACTCCCCCTCACATATTCAACAAAAAATTGAATGGTTTCTCATGTTTCAAGTTGCATTATGCCATTTTTGAATCATTTACTTTGCCCATAGGACAAGGATGTTCTAGAGTGGGGTTAATTATTTCATCCCACCCAAACTCTGAGGGTAGGGGATGCTGTTGTCCAGAGGAGAATGAGGGTAGTCTTACCCTTGTGCGAAATGGATATTAGGCAGGCCCCAAACTATAGATTTTCATTTTAGTTATGAACATTTTCACATGTATAGCACTCTGTTTTAGTGGAAAAAAAAAATAAAGGAAAAGCAAGGGAAGTGAGTGGTGCTCTGTTACGTAGTAGGTGTGCTTTTGGGTGTGTGTAAGGCCAGCCTAATCAATTGGCAGTCTACCTCCACTCTCACCACAGGGGGTAAGAAGGGAGAACTCATGGTCCCAGCACTCTGGGGGATCAACATGGGGTTCCATGGGCTGTAACTGCATGCCTCGTAAACTGTTGGTAGCTACCGGCTTTTAAGTTCATGTGTAAGTTATGAGCGATGGAGGCAAGTTCTTTTTTTTTAATAGAGGCATGTTTTATTTATTTGTTTGTTTGTTTGTTTGTTTATACAAGCACTGGGTACAGTCAGAAGCGCGGGAGGGTGAGAGAATTCACCAGAGCCAGAGCGGGGAGCAGAGCAGGCAGAAGGACCGAAGTACACTGCTGAGGGGAGCAGCAGGCGGCAGTTGAGGTCTGCGCGCCATGTGGGACTCTCCTCTGGTGGCCGGGGAGCAGCCGGGAATCAAACTGGTGCTGCAGAGGCTGCGGGCAGCTTCGCAACCCAGCACTCAACCGCTGCGCCACCGGAGAGGCCCAATGGAGGCAAGTTCTTAAGGTGAGGAACAGAAACATTCTTGAAACTGTCCCTAAGGGATTCTGAACGTAGTGCTATCCAGATGAATTTGGAGTGTGCTGACACTCGGGCAGTACATTCTAGAGCAGCAGTGGTGTTTGCTGCTGACAGCTGTGGTGACCGCACTACCATCATTTCTGTAGCCCCTGTCTTGACTGGGTATAGCCTGAATAGGGGAGCTGCTCTTCTCAGTCTATCTGTTCATGGGACTTGCCAGCTGGCAGTACAATTGTCTGAGGTCGAATGAGTCCTTCTTTGCTGTCCATGGTTGAATCTAGCCTGACCTATGGTTTCCTCTGCTCTTTTGTTGACCTTACGGTGGCTTTTAGTTACTCTCAGTCACATACTCGTGGAGCTCTAAGGTGTCTACCTGTAATCTCTGCTCTGATGGGCCTTCCTGGCCTAGGCTGGCTGCTTTTGAAGGGGAACCCATTCTTAGTATGAAGGAAGCTGGAAATGTGGTGAAAACCCCACAGTTTATTCTCTTTCCATGGGAGTACGGGGCTATTTGAACCAATCTGAATTTTTCCTTTGAGTCTATTCTTACCCTAAAATTAGGATGTCATATTGAATTATGGTCCAAAAAAAAAAAAAAAGAAAAGAAATGAAGTTTTTATCTGACACTTCAGAGATCTGCTAGCCTTTCTCATTCTGGTCCTGTGCTCATGATTTTGTTGTGTTATTTGATCTTGGGCAGTCACTCACAAAGGGAAGCTTCTAGACGTAGGGTATGTGGAGGGCCCTTCAGTGTATCCTCATTTCCCTTCACAATTTTTGGTATTTTCTCCCTTTACATCTCCTCAAGGACATTAGATGGAGCCAATTTGTAAGTAAATGATACATGTTAATCCTTCCCTTCCGTTAAGGACTCTGGGTGAACCTGGAGCCCTCGTGCTCACATTTCCTCGGGTGCAAGGGGGATAGAATAATATTAATACTCCACTTGTGCTTGAAGTTATTCATTAACTGAGCAGGCTTAAGTCAGTCACACAAACAGAACTTCGCAGTATAATTCTGAGACTGTTTGGAATAATGGACACTGACTCAATTGAGTCAGGGAAACCCCACCATTTTGTGGCCATCACTTTTGTTGGATTTCACTCTCTGAAACAAGGTTCCTTGTGTTTCTCAATATAATAAAGTGGGTGTCCACCTCTGAAATCTGTAGCCCACTGTATAAATGTCCAATCACATAACGTGATTGGAACATTTTAAAGAGGTGGTTTACTGTGGGGGAAGCAGGTGGTATCTTGGGGTGGCAAGTGATCTGCTGGCCCAGCTGTGCCTTCCAATCAGTAGTGTCCAGGTAGAGACAGCAGCACTCAGGGCATACTGCTCATATTTATTGGCTGTGTCTGTGCAAGATGTTGGAAGATTTATTTTTCATTTTTCAAAAAGATTTATTTATTTATGCATGCAAGAACTGGTGCACAGGCCAGAGGTGCAGGGGATGAGAGGATTCACCAGAAACAGAGTGGGGAACAGAAGAGGCAGACTGACTGAAATATACTGCTAAGGGGAGCAGCAGGTGAGACAGGAGAGGTCATATGGGTCACCTCCCTGGCTGGCCAGCCATCGAACTCCTGCTGCAGGGGCTGTGGATAGCTTTATAGTTCTGTGCTTAATCCCTTGCACCACCAGTGAGGCCCTGTTAGAGGATTTAAAACAGTTTCGATTGCTAATAAAGTAACCCACAAAAAGCCCAAAGCTACGATATTCTGTTAACAGATTATAAAAGAAAAAGATACTTATTTTGACTTGTTTCTATGGCAGTTAGCTTAGCACTTACTACTTACTATGAACCAGGTTCAGCATCCTTCAGGGCATCCCAGTGCTCAGGGCAATTTAGCTGGGATCTTCTTTTTTTCACATGCAGCGTGGCCTATGAATTTAATCTCAAAGGGCCCATGCCTCTTTGCAGTGCCACACCTGTGTTTTTCATGAAGCTACAGCAGTTACTGCACACGACTGGTTCTGCTCTTCTCCCTATGCTACTGGGAGCACAGCCAGGGAAACTGGAATGGCTCGTGTTAAGAGTCATATTTTAATGGGTTGCATCCTCCATACAGCCAGAGGATTAGAATATGGATGTTTTAGGAAGGGGCAGAAATTTTAGGAAGCCAGTGGTTCTTACTTGCCCCCATGTTGTGTTTATCCCAAGCTTGACTCTCTGCTCCTCACTTTATAAAACGAACAATGGCAAACCCTAGTTCCATTGTTTACAGGTTTCAATTCCAACAATGCAAATTGGCCAATTAGACGCTCAGTCTCAATTTCTAATTCACTACAACTGAAATGCACTTGGTTGACATGGAGTTAGAGGACTGTGAAGACTGGGCATGGGGTGCAAAACCCATTATGCCTGCCCTGCATATTGCTGGACCTAGTGGGTAGAATGGAGTGTGGGTCCCAGAGAAGGGACATGTGGCAAGCTGAGTGGGTCCAAATAGTTACTGACCTCCAGTGTCTACACCCACGCCTCTCTTACTCCAGGAGTAAGAGCTTGCAACACCTGAGCATCTTACAGTCTACTTCAGAGGTTTGCTGACCCACTGGGTATGTGTCATTCTTTGTTGAAGAGTGGACACTGCTTAACTATGGCTTTTGTTTGAAAACCTGCCATTATTAAGTCAAATGGATACAAGTCTCTGACACCACACATACAACAGCTCACAGAATTTGGCAAAAGTCCTGCCCAATTGACTTGCCCCGCCCCCGCCCAACTCCAGTCACCATCCCCAGATAGATTTTTGAATACCATATTTTCATTATAATTGTGGCATCTATATTTGCAGACATCTGTTGTTTAAGATAATTAAATTTTTCTGAACAGTTTTATTGAGATCTACATTGGACTTTTTTTTTAAAGATTTGTTTTTATTTATTTATGCATACAGGAATTGGGGTGTAGGCCAGAGGTGCAGGACAGTGAGAGCATTCACCAGAGATAGAGTGGGGAACAGAACAGGTACCTCTCCTGAAATACACTGCTGAGGGGAGCAGCGGGTGAGACAGGAGAGGTCTGCTGCGCTATGTGTGTCAGCTTCCTGGCTGGGGATTGAACTTGTACTGCAGTAACTGCTAATAACTTCGTAGTGCTGAGACTTAACCCCTGTACCACCAGGGAGGCCCCTGCATTGGACTTTTAAAGCTGGTGGGCAAGAAATTTTTTCCCACAATGTTAGCAATGACAAGTGTCTTAGTGACCCTGAGGTGAGAACAGTCTGAATGATTGCATGTTCCCGTGAAAGTTTAATATAGTTCCCAGCTCACTATTCCCAGGTGATAAATTCTCAAAATCTTAACTGTCATTTGACAGCTGCTTAAGCATTTTCATTCTGAAGCTGGCCCTTTGGCTTTTCAGAACACACTGGAAAGAGAAGCTGTTGCAAGTGGAACAGAATCTGTAATCTTCATGCCTTTTTTAAAATTCATAGATGTTACCAGCATTGTTTTAATTTTTTTATTTTCTTGAAACTTTTCCATTATTGTCTAAGAGACCATATCAAGTATATTAATATGCTCAAACACGGAAGAAACTATCCATGAGATCTTAAAATATTCTGAATAATATTTTCTTTCTTTTTAGCTGTCTCCGTTATGAGGTACAGCGCCTCTGCTTTTGGGTTTGCAGTAAGTAACCTGAAAATGTACTTTTGCACGTTTTTCCCAAGTCTGTGATCCCACCCTGGGCAATCAGTAAAGAGGGTGGTTAGCAGATGAGAGCTTGGCATGAGATCCATACCTTTTATGGAAATAGTTTATACACAAAATCACATTTCAATACAAGTAAATTGCAAGGGCACTCTAGAATTCTCCAGAACAGATTAGGGGAGCCACATTTTCCCCATCTGCTTGAGAGGATGTTTTAGACTTTTTTCCCCATTCAAGGTTATAGGTTTGAAAATGAGTACACACCGAAGTATTTGGTGGTTGCAACAGAGGTGTTGGGACTTAAGATGAGGCTCCTGGTCCTAGGATAAGTCTGTCTGGAGCCCGGTTGGTGGTAACCTGGGTTCTAGCCTGCTTCCTGATGGAAGTTGGTTCTAGAAGCAGGTCTCAGTTGTGAAAAGTCCAGTCATGTTGAAAACTTGGGTGTGAAGTTTCCCCACATCCCTTCAAACGTGCTGGCAACTTTCCAGATGAAAAGTGTGGTTGGTGCAGTAACTCATACACAGATTTCCTTTAAATATCTCTCCTGTGTAGCTTTAGGGTTTCCTGTACCTAAGAGTATGTGTTTGTGTTCCCAAACCCACTCTTTCCTTCATTATGAGAACTCAATGGTTTGGGATGTTGCAGATTCTTTCAGTAACTTTTGAAAGATGTGACTGTTTCTCTAGCAAAATGTACAACACACACACACAAACATGCATGTGCGTGTGAACATTCCTCTTTCCCTCCTTCCCTCTATCTCTCACACATTCACTCAGATATCCCAACAAAAACAATAATTTCAAAGTGTTGGCAAATTGCCCAGAGCCCCTAGGTAACCCTACCCTCACCCCTGCTACTAGGTAGAAAAGATCCATTGAGAGACAGAAACACAGAATCCTTACCCTGAATCTTTTACTTGGAATATGTATTTCAGGAAAATGCTGAATTTATCTTTTCTGCTGTGGAGAAACCAGTTCCCCAGATGTCAAAATTGTGCAATTCCCTTTATCTCTAGAGACCTAGGTGTGAGGACCTGAGTGCGAGCCCATCCCCTTTTCCTGCAGAGTATGGTTTCTCAGGCTGAAGGAGTAGGGGGAGGCTTAAGGAGGAGCTGTGGTATTGCCACTGTGTGAGTGTTTCTGGCTCTTGCATTCCATGTTCTACTATGAGGGTGATGAATGGCCTGCATCCTCTTTGTCCTGAGGTAACTGGTCGGATGGGCCACATCACAGCACATTTCCCTATGTCTTCATAGTTGTGCCCTATTCGCTTTGGAAAACTACTAATGCCATGTCTCCTTTTCCTAGTTTGATGCCATCCTCGATGTCCTGTCATCGGCGATTGTCCTGTGGCGTTACAGCAATGCGGCTGCTGTGCATTCTGCCCATAGGGAGTACATGTAAGTTGATTGTCATCTTCTTCCAGGCTGCAGAACCCTTGCACACGTGAGGCCACATAATGAGGCTGTCAGCACAGCTCACCTGCAACTTTGGTCCCAGTGAAGAGAATAAGGTTCCCAAGATGCCTTGAGTGTCACTGGTACGACAGCAATCATGTGATAGGTCCGTTTGGGATATTTAGTGCAGTGGGCTGTCCCTTTATAATTCTTCCTGTTGTCTTTTCTTGAATCAGAATATTTGTTTGCACATTCATTTCTCTGTCCATCTCTCCATCTATCAATCTGTCCATGCATCTTTGTGGCCATGCATCGTCTGTCAATTCTTTCATACTTCTCTTCATGTTTTTGAAATCTTTGTTCCCTGAATTTTTATGCCTTTTTCTTCTGTAGAATGAGTTCTCCACCTTAATTAACACAGGACAGCTTAGGACTTCCTGACTTATTCTCCTTGTATTCTAGTCCTACCTGTATTAGAGGATATTTCTTGCCCCAGTCTCTGTATCCCATGGGTAATGATTTTGTCTTTGAGGGATTTGTTTGTGACCATAAAATATGTATCTTTATTCCATTTGTTATCCCCAAAGTGAAACCAGCACAGTTTCCAGGGTTAGATACATTGGCTTTGAATCTCACCTCTACCACTTGTTTGCTCTGTGACTGTGGGAAGCTACTGTCTGCTCTGTGTTTTGTTTCCTCATCTGGAAGAGCAGGAAAACAACAATGCCTCCTTCCTAGGGTTATAGTGCCCATTATATGAGGAAAACACACCTCATAATGTATCATGATATTGTTATAAGACAGGGAGAGGGGCAGCCCAAACCCCGCAAACCTGCCTATTCTAAATGGGTTCTGCCATCCGCCGCATCAACACAAAACATAGGAGACTTTAGTGGGAAGGAACTTTACTAAAACTAGGAAACAATACAGGTAGAGCAAAGAATCTAGTTTCTAAATGAAGCACCCAAAGTTACCCATCCCCTCGTGGGTAAAAGTCCATCCATATGGGATCGGCCCAGAGCAAGGCCCCAAAGCCTGCCACAAGTCTAAAGCATCTTCCAGTGGGGACCCACAGCAAAGGGTCAGAAACAACCAGACAAGCCCGGAAGGAAAAGAGCAAAATCAACATCAAGATAAAAGCTGCCATTGTCACCTCCCCACGGGTCTCACCCACATCTGTGTCACCCAGTCCACGACCACAAGACAAGCGCAGTTTCTTTACCTGTCTCTAGGCTCCATGCGCCTCCTCCAGGTCTCCTGGCTCCATCCTGCTTCTTCCTTCCTCAGTCTCTTGTGTAGCTTCTCTTCTTCCTGCTCAGCTTCACCCTCCCTTGGGTGGGGCAGGGAACCTCCCCCTTTCCTGGGGACCACCCTGTTACAATATAAACCATCATAGTGATGTAATGATATATGTTCACTGAGAGTAGTGTTTGTACTAAGTTCAGTAAACCTTGGCAGCCATCATTATTAAGTGGGCTTCCCTGGGACTGAGTCACCACTGGTTATTAGGGCAAGATTTTTACCTCACCTTTGCAGCTTTCAAACAACTCAATACAAATGAGTAAATGCCCCTTGCTGTGGTTTGTGGTGTGCCAGACAGAAGGAAATGGTCTGTTTTACTCATGATGATGGTGTTTCACACTAAAACTTACACAAGTTGTATATTTCTTCAGTGCCAGGGAATCAGAGTCATTTATCTGAGATTGTTGTGCCAGATGGAAAGCTTTTGAAAGATGATGGCATAACTGATTTGGGAATGAGAGCAGTTAGTAATTTTCTTTGCTGCTGGCTTTAGGTAGAGCGCAAAAACATTTTTTAAGTGTTAAATATTTAATGTGCCTTAGCTCTTTTAACAAATATAATTAAAATATCAGACATGTGATATCACAGATAATACTGTTTAGGATAAGAAATATTTTTTCGGGGGAATATAAAAATAAAATTTATGAAAAAAAACAAAAAACAAACAAACAAACGAAATATTTTTTTCAAAATGAGTCAATTTATGGCTTTAAAAAATTAAGAGCACAATAGTTGCAAGTTGATTTTGTAAAATTTCAGATGATGCTACCATTATGAAAATTGAGTTAACACAGGGCTTTAGACAAAAGGCTGCTAATGGGCAAACTGTTGAGGGCGATTATTTGAGGAATACAATGAGAACACACTAGAGTGAAATCTACAGATGTGCTCTCATTTCAAGTGCTGGTCCCTGTACTATTAGAAGAACACATTTTCTTTGCTTTTATATTTGTGTTGTCCAACATGATAGCTACAAGTGGCCTTTACCACTTACATGTGATTGCACAGAACTAAGAAATGTTGTAAGTATAATGTCCACACTGAATTCCAAAGACTTTAGCAAAAAAAAAAGAATGTGAACATATTATTAATAACTTTTACAATATTGATAAATTGATACAAGAATAATTTGAATATATTGAATCAAATAAACTATTAAAAGTGATTTTACTTTTTCTTACTGTCTTAATAAGGCTTGTAGAAATTTTAAATTACATATGTGACATATTTCTTTTTGTCCTTAATCTTAAAAGAGAAAGACTTTTCTTTCTTACTTTGGAATTAATAATCCAAAATTTTATTCGCATTTCCAGAGTAACTGTATTCTGTGTGTCTTAATTTCTCTCCAACTTGTTTTTCTTATCTACTGGCCTTTATGCTGAAATGTGTTTCTTACATATTAGTTCCAAATCACAAATTACTGTGACTTTTCTATCATGTTGGAATCTCTATAAGCAGGTGGCCTGAAATTATTCCAAGACTAAGATTTACGATAAGAAATGACTTTGGTTCCACTGTTTTTAATGATCCCTTAACAAATACCATTTTCTAAAAAAGTATATCTACACAATAATACTCAAAAGGAAAAATTTCACAGAGTTGCTTTGATAATCCCAGATGGCAGTTCATGTGAGGATGCCAATGAATTCATTTGGAGATTTTTAATCTAGGGATTAAAATGACACGGACAATCCTCTGTAGGTTAACTTTTGTGTAAAGTTTTAATCTCTGGCTCATCCCGTGTAAATTAAAAATTCATGAAATCACTGCCAGCTGAGAAACTAATGTTTGCATATTAATGAGCATGAATGAATTATGAGAGGCAGAGCTAGAAAAGTCATTGGTTTATTTTTTTGTTGTTGTTAGATACTAATAGTTAATGAAATGGAGACTACCCCTAGCGGTCTGTAGTTAATTTCTCTATTTTTTCCTAATTTTGACTCAGATTCAGAATGAATCTTGATCTTGCAATTGCTACTGCAGAGAGGTCAGAAACCACCTTCAGTCTTGACAGCTGTGACAGTGTATGCTGACCGTGGATGTTATGGGGTGTTTGATGCATGGAGGGTCTGCCTTCTGTGTCACCAGAGAACATGACCCATTATTTTGCCTTTTTTGTTCTTGCAAAAAAATATACAACATTAAATTTGCCATCTTAATGTACATTTTAGTAGCATCAGGTATATTCATGTTGCTGTGAACAGTTGTCCAGAACGTTTTAATCTTGCACAACTGAAACTATATATATTACACATCTCCCCCTTTTTGCTCCCCTTCCCTCAGGCCCTGGTGACCACTATTTGTTTCTATAAATTTGAGACACCTCATATGAGTAGCCTCACATAGTGTTTGTTCTTCTGTGACTAACTTATTTCATTTGGCATAATATCTTCAAGGCTTATCTATATGCTAACAAGGCTTATCTATATGCTAACATGTATCTATATGCTAACATTTCCTTCCTTTTAAAGGCTGTATAATATTTTAGTGCATGTAGAAAACACATTTTGCTTATCCCTTCATCTTTTCATAGCCATTTGAGTTGTTTCAAACTTTCAGCTGTTGTGAGTAGTGCTGTTGTGGACATGGGTATACGAATACCTCTCTATGACCCTGTGTTCAATTTTTTGGAATATATATCCAGAAGTGGGATTTTGGGGCCATATGGAGATATTATTTTTAATTTTTTAAAAAGATTTATTTATGTGCACAAGAACTGGGAGGCAAGCCAGAGGTGTGGTGGGTGAGAGGATTCACTAGAGACAGAGTGGGGAGCAGAACAGGCAGATTCCCTGAAATATACTGCTGAGGGGAGCAGAGGGCAAGGCAGGAGAGGTCTGCTGTGCTATGTGGGCTGCTCCCCGGCTGGTGGGGTATTGAACTCGTGCTGCAGTGGCTGGCAGTAGCCTGACAGCACTGCCCCTAACCTGCGCCACCAGGGAGGCCCTATTTTTAATTTTTAAGGAACTTCTATACTGTTTACCACATCAGTTGCTCCATTTTGTATTCCCACCAAATAGCTATTTATTTAAAAGTTGCAAATTTCATTAGTCACCTTACTGTGGTAGAATATGTGGAAAAGGTAGATCACTAGGTTTAACTAGGCAGGGTTTTTCAACAGGCATGTATGATAGAAGGAGGGGCAAGGGAGTCAAATTTGTTTGCTAGGGAAGGGTACTAATAACACACCATACCTCAAGACTGGCAAGGAAGGTTGGGAAGCAATGACAAGATTAATGATTGGTCATGCTGGCTGGAAGTCTTGATTAGGTCAGCAGTGGGGTGCTGAAAGTGGAATGCTGAAGACCAGGATCCCACTGAATAACCACCAGGTTATTCAGTGATGTATGTATTTTTGATGGGCAGGGGTTGAATGAACCCATTGAATGGGTTGAATGAACACAAAAGTTTAGAGACAGATGTTGGCTGGATGCTCCATCCAAGATTGAGGGAATGTTTGCAGAATTCAGGGAAGAGATAAAGGCTATGAAGCAGGTGCCATTGTTGTCAATGAATGAAAGACCTAGTGGCAAAAGACTGAGGTGGGGGGGTGCGCAGTAATGACAAGGAGTTTTAGTGGGTGCTTTAGTCTGAGGACAGCTGGGAGTGGGGCCAGAGGAAGTCAGAGAGATTACCATGGGAAGAGCTTGGCAAGGCTGAGGACAGAGGGTATGCATGCTGTACTCTACCTGCTCAGCCCT